CCAACACCACCTCCGCCACCCCGTTCCAAAATTGGTTCTCAATGATGATGGAAATCTTATTCCAACTCAATCAAACGGTGCAATCCTGTGGCAAAGTTTTCATTTTCCAACTGATACACTTGTGCCCGAACAACCTTCACTCGATACACAAAACTTGGCTCCTCGAGAACTCAAACTAACTGCTCTTCTGGTTTTTATAAGTTGTTTTTTGACAATGATAATGTTCTTCGCCTTCTCTATGATGGGCCCGATGTTTCAAGTATCTACTGGCCAGATCCATGGCTCGTCAGTTGGGAAGCTAAAAGGTCCACGTACAATGCAAGTCGCATTGCAATTCTCAATTTATATGGTAATTTTAGCTTAACTGACGACCTTACTTTCAAGACATCAGACTATGGCCATGTGCTTCAGAGAAGATTGACTGTTGATTAAGATGGCAATCTTCGAGTCTACAGTCGAAAAAGTTGGGGAGAGAAATAGAGTGTTTCATGGCAAGCCCAATCACAACCTTGCAAGATTCATGGCATATGCGGAGCCAACAGTGTGTGCATCAATGATCCTTATTCTGGGAGAAAATGCTCTTGTCTTCCAGGCTACAAGGTCAAGAATGGAAATGACTGGTCTTTTGGGTGGGAGCCAGACTTCAATTTGTCTTGCATCTCAATAGAGTCTCACTTTTTACACATAAACAACACCGAGTTCTAAGGCTACGACCAGGGATACTTCCCAAATTATACCTATAAACAATGCAAGGATGCATGCTTGGAATTTTGTAACTGCAGAGGATTCCGATATACTTGGAACCCGGATGCTGGCTCCTACACTTGCTACCGAAAGACACGTCTGCTCAACGGGTATGTTTCCCCTGGTTTCCGTGGATCAATTTACCTGAGACTACCAAAACCCAAATCTTTCACGTTTGAAGAATCTATTGTGAAGAAGTGTAATCATGTTAGCTCTATAGTGCTTGAAAGATTGTATGGCTTAAGACCCGACAGACTTTTGGTTAAGGTGCTTTTCTGGTTAGCACTGGCCATTGGGTCCTTTGGAGTTGTGGGCATCTTTTGTGTTTGGTGTCTATTAATGAGGACGAGAGGAAAGTTGGGTACAGATCAACACGACTATCATCTCACTACCACTGGGTTCAGAAGCTATAATTATTCTGAGTTGAAAGAAGCAACAAAAGGGTTCGGTGAAGAGATTGGAAGGGGTGCCAGTGGAATCCTATACAAGGGTGTGTTGACGGATCGACGAGTTGCGGCAATCAAGAGGCTCAATGAAGCTAGCCAATGAGAAAGTGAATTTCTAGCTGAAGTAAACATAATTGGAAGACTTAATCACATGAACCTAATCGACATGTGGGGGTACTGTATGTGCAGAAGGAAAGCACAGGCTGTTAGTATACTAGTACATGGAGAATGGTTCGTTGGCAGAAAATCTAGCATCCAATAGCTCCTCGCTCGATTGGAAGAAGCGTTACAACATTGCTTTGGGTACAGCCACAGGTTTGGCATCTCTCCATGAAGAATGCTTGGAGTGGATTTTGCATTGCGATATAAAGCCTCAAACATACTTCTGGATTCAGATTATCAACCCAAAGTCTCAGATTTTGGGTTATCTAAACTACTGAACAGAAATGATACCAACAACTCAAGCTTCTCAAGGATAAGAGGAACAAGAGGTTACATGGCACCTGAGTGGGTGTTTAATTTGCCAATTAAATCGAAGGTGGATGTTTATAGCTATGGAATTGTTGTGTTGGAGATGATAACTGGAAAAAGCCTTGGGGGCTCCCACATGGTGGAAGGAGTAGAGTCACCTCACGGGAGGCTGGTGACATGGTTGAGGGAAAAAAAGAATAGAGGAAACGGAACGACATCGTGGGTGGAACAAATCATATATAGATCCTACGATAGAGGGGAATTATGAGATCGAGAAGATGGAGATTTTGGCTAGGTTGGCTCTAGACTGTGTTGAGGAAGATAGAGACGCAAGACCAACAATGAGCCAAGTTGTGGAGATGCTTCGGGGTCATGAAACTGATTCACAGTGATGGTAACAATGAATTAATGGGTATGGTGGTTATTTGATCTCCTGTCAATAATACTGTGTTGGCTTTTGATGTTGCGTGTGCTTTTAAATATTACTGGACTATAACCACGACATTCTTGGCGTTTACGTGTGAAATTTTAAATTAAAAGTGTGGGCGTGGCTTTACTGATTGGTTAGCTTCAGTTAATCATGTGTTGATGCGATCCTGTAGAGCTACGTTAAACTATTAAATTTTGCGTGCGCCATTCACCTGGTGACTGGCTGTGAGTCCTGTAGCCTTCAAAACTGGGACCTTTTGCTATTGTCAACTATCATTTCTATAGGTCCGCTTTCCTACAACTTACAAACGGGTTATATGGAATTGAGGAGAAAGCAAGGAGACCAGATGAGTTTAATTGATTGAGTGAACATAGATGTTTTTAATTAAGTGTTTGAAGAACATATATTCTACCCTCTCAAAGTAAATAGACTCTTGGTAACTTGACGAATGAGGTTTGTTTAGTTTCGATTAAAGTATCTTAATACAGATGACAAGGCGGGCACAAATTCATGAATCAATTAGTTAATCTGGATGGATATTGACTTTGTTTGAGGCGACCCGTCAACTTAAGTGAGTGAGTTAGGCGAAAGGGGAGGTTTTCAAGGATAGCTGCGGGAGGAGCAATACATGGTGACGTAATCGCTGATTCGGCTCTCATGCTTGTTTGGATTAACGACTTATAAGTAAGATAAAAATTTTTTTTCACATATTTATTTTCATAAATCACAATTAAAAAAAATGCTTCTACATTATTCCAAGCAGGCCTGTGGATATGCGCCTCTTCCACATGCGCATGGCCATTGCCCCATAAGGTCTGAGGGCCACCTGAATGTGGGTATAATCAATATCGGCCCACTTCCTATATGTATAAAGATACTCCTCGTCCTTAATATAGGACTTAATTATTGAGTTAGTTTTGGTCCTAAATATAAGACCCATTTTTTATATTTATCAATTTTTTCTAAATTACCCCTATTGATATTCCTTCAACCATAATCAAGTAGAAGAAGAAGATGGGGTATTAAGAAAGATGATTATGGTGTTTTAGGAAAAATGTGTCACATTTCTTATAATTAACTAACTTACCTAACTTCCTTAATTTAATCAAATTAGTTAAATGGGTCTTATATTAAGGACCGGAGGAGTATTATATTTAGGACTGGAAGAATAATATTTTATGGTGATCCAAAATCCAAAATAAAAAAATACCAATTCTGATAAAATTAATAAAATAATCATTTTTATTGTTTATAAATGTGGAATGTTTTAATTAGTAAACGTTTAAGTGAAGGCACAAAATAGCAGAAAGCTCGTATTTACTTTTTGGCTTTGAGAGACCATAATTCTTGTGGATTATTTGTACTATGTTATAATAATAGATTGTCATTATATTTTAAAAAAATTAATATAGTTTAAAATTTTTCTTAGACTGTATAAAATGTGCTAAAAATATCTTGTAAATAGAACTAAAAATGTGTTATAATGCTGAAAGTCATATTTTTCTTTTATTTAATCAGTTCAAGAAGTGAAAATATGAAAATAAACAAACTATTCAGCAGTGAAGAAATATTTACGGGTGTACTCAAATTTCCTTTGACATTAGATTTTTTAAAAATCATTATATAGTACTCCCTCCGTTCTTTATTATAAGAGACATTTGATGCTTATAGTATATTCTTATATATAAGAGACACTTAAAAGTTGTCTCTATTTTTTTGTATTGATTTCCTATTTTACCCCTATTTATTTTGTCTCCAACTCATACTCTCTCTCCCTCCCACTTTTCTTTCTTTTAATAATTTAATTATTCTCTCTCATACTCTTTTTCCTTATTAATGGGGTATTGTTAGAAAAAACATTATATTTTTTACATATTAATTGTCCTCAACTAATTTTAATTGTTTTTTTAATCAATATAATTTGATTATTTATCTCTTATAATAAGAAACGGAAGGAGTATCCTTTCAGCCATAAAAACTCAACCATACAACTCAAGCATTTGGGGCCTAGGGGGGGGGGGGGGGAAATGAAGGGGGGCCTTCAGCCAAAAGAAACGTTCAACGAGACAAATCAAGGGTAATGATACGGGTCTCTTCCGTACGCGACCCACTACTACGTCGACCAGAAATATCTTCTACGCCCCCTCCTCCGGGTCACCGGGACGTTCTTCCACGAAACAACGACGTGTGCGTTTATGGCTGTCAGGTCTCCATTGAATGAAGATGCCTTAATGACGTAAAACAGGATCGGAGGGCAGGGGGACAAAAGAGATAGTAGACGAGGGAGAACAACTTTATTACCAATTTTAATTCAATAATAATAAAGAGAGTATATTTTTTAAAATAATTATATAAGTCATATTTTCTCGGCAGAAGTGATATGCACATATTATTTTCATCAGAATTTTAGGTAACATTGTACAAGAAACTATACTTTTAGATAACATTGGCCCACTTCCGATTTTATTATTAATAAATTTTATGCAATTCAAAGAAAGTGGATAACAAAAATTTAATGATAAAATACTAATATTTTACGGTGATCCAAAATCCAAAATAAAAAAATACCAATTCTGATAAAATTAATAAAATAATCATTTTTATTGTCTATAAATGTGGAATGTTTTAATTAGTAAACGTTTAAGAAATTAATCAGATGACATGATGTTTTTAGAGCACATAAATATTAAAATTTAAATGTTGTTACTCTGATATGTTGAAATCTAATATAACTAATTTTCATCATGTATCTTAAAGGGAATCAAATATATATTTAAAGATAGGAATAAAATAAAGAAGACGCCAGCCAAATTGTGTGGGAAATCCTGAATCTATTTGATACTACCGAACAGCAGTAACAAAATGCCCCACAAAATAGGCTAAAAAACAAATCGCCATTTTATCGTGTAATAATAACTGTCAAAAATAAAAATTGGATCGCGTTGCCGTCTCGAGAGGTGCGAAGAATATAGTTTCCATTCAGTTAAATAGCGTCTTAGATTTGAGAAACGGCAACAGATCAGAATACAGCAGGTGACCATCTCGTACCTACGAGGATGCCTTCCATCTTGTTATGGTTGCTGGGAGTAATAATTGCAACAGAGGGAGGGGTAGTGAGGCCTCAAGTGGAAGCGCAGAAAACCATATTTATACTGGCGGGACAGAGCAACATGGCCGGGAGGGGAGGCGTGGCGAACGTCTGGGACGGGGTGGTGCCGGTGCAGTGCCGTGAGAACCCGTCCATCCTGCGGCTGAGCGCAGGATTGGAGTGGGTGGAGGCGAAGGAGCCGCTGCATCGGGACATAGAGGCGACGGAGACGACCGGGATCGGGCCGGGGATGGCATTCGCAAATCGGATCTTGAAGAAGAAGCCTGAACTGGCGGTGGTGGGGCTGGTGCCGTGCGCCGTAGGAGGCACAAACATAAGCGAATGGGAACGAGGAAGAAAGCTGTACAATCATATGATGAGGAGAGCTAAGGCATCGGTGAGAAGTGGCGGAAGTATCAGTGCGTTGCTGTGGTATCAAGGCGAATCTGATACTATCAATCTCACAGATGCTCAGGCATACGGCTCCAGACTCCGCAAGTTTTTCTCCGACGTTCGTGCTGACCTCCAGTCTCCGTTGCTTCCTATCGTCCAGGTCTTCTTTTTATTTTATTTTTATTTCTTTTAATCTCCCCATTAATTTCATTTATTTATTCTTTCTTTTAGTATGCTTAGAAACAATTTCTTTGGCGTGCCTTCGACACATAGGCATGGCATTCATAGGTCCGCCCTGCTTATTAATTATGATCATACTGCAAATTGGTATATATGAAACCGAAAAGGAAATTAAGACGCTCAGATCTTTAGGGTGCTGAGAAGAGATTTTCAGCCACCCCTCCCACTAACAAACTAAGAGTGTTTTGTTATAAACAAAACTATAATTTTAAAAGTATTTTTAGCAATTAGCATAACACAAACAACTCCTAAAAAATAAAGAAAAAGAAGGCATAGTTTTGATTGAGACAGGTCTTAATTTCAACCGTGGCCACTTGTTTTGCGTATGTTACACACTAGGTATAATAATACGATACTGACAACGAAGCGGTCCCTGCTAAGTACGAACACCCATCCACAGGGATGGGGTCTTCCCTCACCCTAGTCCACGCTAACAGATTCAACGGCAGTATCTTATTTTAATTTTTATGATATAACCAATGATTTAAAACTTGGACCGGACCGGCCGGTTAGACCGTCACCCCGTGCCCACTACGGCTCGTCCTAACTGGTTAGCTCATTCTACCGTTTGAGCCGCTTCCAGCCACCTTTTAGACCGGAAGCCGATATTAATTAAAGAGCCGAGACGGTTTTGGAAAAACTGAACGGCCAAACTCTTTCTCACTATGAACGTTTGAAAAAACAAATTGTATATAGTCTCACTCACACACCAACTCAAGATCTGTTCCTGAAATACGAAGAAGAAAAGAAAAGGAAGAATATTGAAAAAGAGAACAGGACATGCTTGTTGGAAGAAGAAGATGATGAAAGAAGAAGAAAAAAGCTCGTCACTTTTGTTCTGCAAATCGAGGGGTTGAAACCGTCAAAAATTTAAAAGAAAACTGACAAAAATGACATCACTTTTATGCCCCACAGTTGGAAAATGAAGAAGTAAAAACTGAAAAGAAACGACATCCTTACTTGTGAGGATAAAAAAGGCCATCTGACATGTATTAATTGCAGTGAAAGAGTTGGCCCAAAAAACCGGAGTGAAATGATTTGAAAAAAAAAAACTTCGCTGAAAGGAAATTAAAAACAGTACTATTATAATATCATATTCAAAGGGTACAATGCTAAAAAAATTTTATTTCAATAGTTTTATTGTGTTGGGAGTTGAGAATTAGGATATATATTATTATATGTGAGTTTATTTATTTTTATTCTCAAGTCACACAATAATTTCTATATCTATTTTTATATTTATATTATTATATAAGTATATAATATTATTTTTAATTTAATTATTACGTCACCGGTCTGACCGAACGGTTCGACCAATCCGACTGTTTGAATTGTGACCCGTTAGGTTTTCCAGTTCAATATCTGGTCTGGCTTTTAAAACATTGGATATAACTAATTGAATTATCTTATTTACGTCAAGCAGGAGAGGTATAACAATTGAGAATTTCAGAAATCCAGAATGAAATATAGGAAAATCAATATAATCTAGACCGTAATATAGCCAAATTAAATGTGGTAATATAATCCGACCAGATTTCATCATAGTGGATTGCAAATAAAGTTAGCCTATCACCGCCTGTATTTTGAATTCATAGTTTTTATAGAAATAGTCTTGTTGATGGCGCCTTCCTGGACGGCATTACTCCTGATTCTTATTAGTCAACCAATGGTGCTGACTTCTTCAGATGTATTATTGTGTTATAAAAACCATCATCGACATAGAAATACTAGACAAACCACACAATTCATAAATCATAAACAGAATGAAATAACAAACATTTTAAAATGTTACAAAAGAAAACGTGTAGGATGGATGAGCTGAACGTTCCTAATAAAGAGAGAGACTAATGTGGAACACCAACTGCACTACTGTAGGTTGTATTGATAATTAAGTAACATGTATTTTTCACGGGGTAGTTAGCTGATAATGATATAACAATAACAATAACAGTGTTTTTGGGTTGACAGGTGGCTCTGGCGTCGGGTATTGGCCCATACGTGGAGACGGTGAGAGAAGCCCAATTAGGGATGGACCTTCTGAACCTGAGGACCGTTGACGCCAAGGGCTTGGCACTCAAGTCTGATGAGCTTCATCTGTCGACCCCAGCCCAGGTCCATCTGGGTCAGATGATGGCCGACGCACTCCTTCGCTTCCTACCCACCCCATCGCATGCTCAAGCTCCTCACCCTAACCAGGCCCCTCCCCCTCAAAGGCCTTCTTAATTTTTCTCTTCATCCCAGTTTTCTTTTACTCCTTTCCCCCTCCCTTTCTCCTTGTGATTTTTCTTACTATTATTCCGTTACGCAACAAGACTTCGTCTATGAAAAGTATAGCTGTAAAACGTCTCTCTTTTTGAGGAAAACAAAAATGAAAGCAGAAGAATTGTTACTTCTCACCATGCAACAATAAACACGATCATGGTAGGTAAACTTAGTGAATTGTATGCGGTTAAAATAAAATATATATACAAAATGTGTCCGCAACAGTATATTGTATCATAGAAGGGAGAAAGTGGGGCATGAGGGGTTATAGTGGCGGATGATTGGTCCCTAGTTGAATGAAAGACAGCCACCTGTGCGGAATATGAGGTTGAAGAGAAGTGCGATCATTACTGACAGAGGGGGCCGTTGGGATTAAATTATGAGGAAGACATGCACACACACACACACACACACACGCACGTACATATTAGACAGACAATTAATTAATTTAGGACCACATGGCCTTTTGTTTTAGGTATCGTATGTAAGGTCCCGGCGAGAGCATTATATATCTGAACCAAAAGGGAAAAGCAGGACTCGCTTTTGTTCAAGTCCTTGTCCATATCTGCATATCTGGATTCCTGAGTTACTGGACCTGACTTATCTATGTACTACAGTCACTTGCAGTGGAGAATGACCGCACATTAATCCTGCATTAGCACATCATAATGTACATGCAGTATTCTACTCCAAAGATGCTGGTCGCCACGAAGCAAGTTGAGTTGCAAGATCCCATTTTTCAGCTGAATTCCAGCTGACTAAAGCATCAGAACACTAACTAGTTTCCACCTCTTAATGTACGAGTCGCCTGTATTTGCCAATGTGGGGATGATAATGTACCATTCCAACTTTACTACCTTCATAAGCCCCGTAGGCTAGCATCCATCCCCTTTTTATCAGCAAGTCCCGCGTTGAGGGAACGGTAATGGTAGGGGCGTTTGAGGGAGTTGACGATGGTGAAACTCGGTGGAACTCGTGATTATTATGGACAGGGGACGGCGAGGGGGAATTACATTATGAGGAAGGCATATGACAGGGAATTTAGGATCCCACGGCCTTTTTCGCATCCCATCATCATGTAAGGTGTCGGGGATGTGGAACTTACTTCTATTTACTTCCCAGCTGCAATGGAGAATGACCAGACATTAACTCTCTATCTGCAAATCTTAATGTATATACAGTATTCTACTCCAAATATACTGGTCCCCAACAAGAAAGTTGAGTCTCGCAACATTCTATTTCTCAATAACATCAATTCTCTTCTTCTTCGAATCCTAGTATCGTTTTATTACCATCCAATATTAATTAATGGCTTACCCTTTAGATCCATATGTATGTCCTTTTGATGGAAGGGAGGCTTCAATGGAATTTGAAAGGCGTTGGCGCACTCATGTGCCGCGAACGTTTTATGGGCCCCATCGGAACTTGGAGGAAGCAAAGCGCACTGCGCATACCAGAAAGCTCTTCTCTGAAGAACCCCCGCTTGGGGGGGGGGTTTCCTTTGAAAAAAAAAATACGAGTCAGTAATATGGGATATGTAGGCATATAGACAAGCGTGTATTAAAATACTTCCTGTCCATGCATGATTTGACAGCATTTTGCATTTGATAAATAATTATAAATTTTTTAGAAATAATAATGCTAACGAATCTTGCCACTTCAATAATTTTCAAGAGTCTGCGCCGGAGAGCGTGCCGTAATGATGATGATAAAAATTTTACCCTTTGACTGTGCTTTGCTATGTGTTACGTTGATGGCCACTGATGATGGCCACGTTGCTACTGAGAACTGACTTTCTCGAAGAGAGATAAGACGTGGCAACAGAGGCATTAAAGAGGGCCTGGAGTTTGAGTTTCTAGCAACGTAACGGAAATTGAATCATCTCAGTGATGGCGCTGAACTCCTGTGCGTCATGGTTGTTAGCAACGGGAATGGTAATGCTAAGCCATTCGTCCTCACTCTGGGCAGCGGCTAAGACGAAGGACATATTTACACTGGGAGGACAGAGCAATATGTTAGATAGTAAATGTGAATGTTCTTTCAATAAGAATTTAAATTTTCAGATTGTATTGAAATAGGCAATTACGATCAATACCTCCAATTACAATGGGCAATTAATGTATTTGGGCCAAGACGTGCACCCAAAATCAGGAGCGGCTCCCCCAGCCCCCCCCCCCCAAAACCTCTGGGGAAAAAAAAAATTTGAAGAGCGGTTTAATTAGTTCTTAATAACAAATGATAGCAGCGGCAAATTGAAAAGTCTGTTAACTCGGAAGCCTCGCGCCTCCAGAGAGCGAAAGAGAAACTGAAAAGCAACGCAGAATAAAACATGACATTGGCGCTTAAACATCATTTTCTGGTTTCCGTGCCTGAAACTTCAAGTCAACAATTCGCCAATTTCTAATTAGTAGTCAAGTTGCAATACATACGTAATTAACTACTCTCACGCTTAAAATGTTCCCGAATAAATCTTTGGGCATGAGCTGGGTACTTAAGTCTGATGTATTCCCGAAGGCACTTCTGGTAGGAGAAGTCTATCCAGCCACCATCAGTTCTTACAACAAAAAGACACCTTGAGTTTTGATATTGCGGATGTCGATCAACCTGCAAGAACACAAGTCAAATATACCACTGCACTTGCTGGCCACTTTGAAAAAGAAACAGAGCAACTCTTTTATATAATAAGAAGGATTTGCTCAAGCTCAATAATCTTGGTGCGGGGGTGCCACTCGATGTAAAACTACATGAGCAGTATATGATATTTGGAAAACAAGGATTACGGTTAACGCCAGAAAAGTTCATGGTAGAACTCCTAGAATAGCCCGAGAGAGTAATCTATGTATCAGTGACGGCTTAAACCTCAATGCAATTAAGTATAGCTACATATTTTTACGCACAATTACTTTCCTCTCTTGATATGTCTATAGGCAGCGTATTTCAATGCATTTAATCTAATAGAAGTGATACCTAGTTGGTGTTGTCATGAAATTGCTCATTATAGCATCATTTCTGAAGACATCCTAGTTTCGTTTGATGACATTTAATCCAATTTGCAGAATTTGCAACAAAGGAATTTCATGATTGTCGCCATTTTTTCTGCCTTTTCCTACATTACTAGCAACATTTTGAGGGTTCATTCAGAAAGGAAGAACATCGAACGATTGAACCATACAGAATATAGTCCACAAAGATTTCCCCATCAATATCAAGGATAAAGTACGGACTAATGCCAAGAGACGCTAACGAGCATTCGGCATATTTTGTAGCTCGAGTTCATAAGATGAAGTTTTTTCCCCCCTTAATATACAGTCATCAAAGGCAGAGGTAAGGCCTACATCTAATACTTACTGGCAGCATGACCATGTAGAACCGGGTATCAGCATTATAGCAGATTATATGCTTTATCACTCAAACTATGAAATATAAAATCATACTTGGGCCAATTCGAGACAACAAAATAAAAATAACAAAAATTCAGTCACTGCACTGGAATGTAGAGTCAAAGCACACCATAATGAGAATGTTATAGGTCCCACCAAAGTTGGCCTCGGAATTAAATAAAGCTGAAAGTATTCAGAGAGAAAGATGGCACAGCTGATCCCGTGGATGTTCCTATAGAAGTGGTAACGTTACTCATAGCTAGCATATTCTGAACCAAATACAAGCAACTAGGTTGTAAATAAACCGACATTCTATAATCTATTGGAAAGTAATCAGTGACGTGGCATTAATTAATTAATAAAATTAAAAAGAAACGAGCATGGCTATTTCTGCTTGGTGGCTTACACAAGGAAATGAAAGCAAAGTTATACTATTGCAGTGAAAAGCTTACCATAATGGATTGAATGCCACATGCAACTTTATCTTGGAAACGTGGATGGTAGGCAAGAAGGTTATCAGCCACAGCTTTCTCATCCTCAACAGTCAGTCTCTCCCCATCCATGTACCTAACTAAGGAAATCAACTGAGAAGTCAGGGAGAGGGAATTGAGAAAGGAGAATGATTGAGGCATCATGGCGTGAGGAATGTTTTACCTACCTAGGTGAGTGAAGAATATGCTTGGTGAGCAGAAGGATAGGCTCAATGTCCCTGAGGATCTCCGCTTCTTTGTTTCTCCATTTCCGATAATCCCACGTCGCCTCCCTTGGGCTTGGCGTCGGCGAGTTAGCTCTCAGACTCCCCATATTAACACCACTCACTTTCTCTTCTGCTTGTCGCCAATATGCTATACTGCGGCATACCGGATGAGGTCTCGCACCGATTCCGCCGGTGATCCCTTGGTAGTTAAGCCCCTGAATTCCACTGAGAAGAAGACAAGCTGCCATTTCAGTTTATTTTCTTCGAGGAATCGGTTAGACACCAAATATTATCTCCCCCATTTTATTCATATTTTTTGGGCTTTCGGTTCTGAAAATTGGACCAAACTATTCTGGGCTAGGCCCATTTAGCTTGACTCTGGACTCCTTTTTAGTGCCTCTGGACCTCTAGTTTTAAACAGGATGAACAGGTACCATATTTAGGGATCTCCTAATGCGTGCCTGTCTCATTAATTGACTACAGATTAAATAACGACATAAAAATAGGCAGGCGATGATTATTATATGATCTGATAAGATTGAATTAGTGTCGTTTTAACATTAAAAAAGAAAGCATCATCCTCAACATCATCGCTGATGCTTGCAACTGATATGAAAGCTGCATGCTACGGTAGAATTCGGGCCTCAAACTTGCCGAAGATCAAATTTTGTTCACATCTTGCTGTAGATTCAATATTGGACGTCAGTTATCGTGCATATTGAAACTGATGGTAAGAGGCGATGATGATCTGTTTTGTGCGCAGAAGATTGCAGAAACGTGTGTGATCTTCAACAAGGGAAGGGCTGATTTGAAAGTTCAACGTTCAAGGCTTATCCAACCTGCATTACGTGCCTGTGTTATGTTTCAATATTTTTTTATTTGTACATATAAAATGGTCTATTTCAGTGAATGACGTGCCTGCACGGCGTAACAACCATATTGATTACCCACTTCCTTATCTGGAAAATTTTTCTCATACTTACACGTGTACTCACCACAAATATCCTCATATTTAATTAAAAATAAAAATAGAAGTCGCCAATGTGAGGGAGGGGCCATGTCATTAGTCCCGTGAGCTGGTCCGCACGGGATATTGCTTTTTTGAAAAATTTCAAGACCGACGAAAGCTTGACAGACTCCAGAAAGGCGGAATGAAATCTGCGTTCATGTCCGTCTCGGAAAATTTGGAACCCGCGCTCCGCGACATGAGAACCTCTGCCTTTCCCTCCGCCGAGCTCCACTGAGATTGTGGCTGCTCATCTCCTCCGTCTTTCCCAGAAATCGCCGTGGATGGGCCAGGCAACGTCCACGCCCGCAATTGCGTGCCGTCGCCAAAATTCTCACGGCTCCCGCTCCAAGACCAGATCAACGGCCCTGGTTTCTCCGATGCTCGCCGATGACTGCGACGATTCCTTTCATGAGGTTGTCGATTCCGTCCCTGACTTCATCTCTGATCTTCCCGATGAGTGCCTGGCTTGCATTTTTCAGTCGCTGAGCTCCGCCGACCGCAACCGCTGCTCTCTGGTATGCCGGCGGTGGCTCAGGATCGAGGGCCAGAGCCGCCACCGTCTCTCCCTCAACGCACCATCGGATCTCCTCCCCGTTATTCCTTCACTTTTCTCTCGTTTCGATTCCGTCACGAAGCTCGCTTTAAAATGCGACCGTAGATCTGTGAGCATTGGGGACGAGGCGCTTCTCCTCATTTCTGAACGATGCCCTAATCTGACCCGCTTAAAACTCCGGGCCTGCCGTGAACTCACGGATGCTGGCATGGGGGCCTTTGCCAAGAACTGCAAGGGTTTGAAGAAGCTTTCCTGTGGATCTTGCACTTTCGGATCCAAGGGGATGAACGCAGTGCTCGATAATTGTCCGGCTCTCGAAGAGTTATCAGTGAAGCGTCTCCGTGGAATTACCGATGCAGCTGCTGCTGAACCAATTGGACCCGGTGTCGCAGCGTCATCCCTTAAAACTCTTTGCTTAAAAGAGCTTTACAATGGACAGTGTTTTGGGTCTCTTATTCTCGGCTCAAAGAATTTAAGGACTTTGAAGCTTTTCAGGTGCTCTGGTGATTGGGATAAGCTTTTTAAACTTCTAGCGGACGGAGTGCCAAGTATGGTTGAAGTCCACCTTGAGAGGCTTCAGATTAGTGATATCGGCCTCGTGGCAATCTCGAACTGTTCGAATCTAGAAATCTTGCATCTTGTCAAGACCCCTGAGTGCACAAACTTAGGGCTTGCTGCCATAGCTGATCGGTGTAAGCTACTACGTAAACTTCATATCGATGGATGGAAGGCTAATCGTATAGGTGATGAAGGTTTGATGGCAGTTGCTAGATGTTGCCCTAATCTGCAAGAACTGGTCCTTATTGGTGTTAATCCCACTAAAGCGAGCTTGGAAATGCTGGCATCCAATTGCCATAATCTAGAGAGACTGGCGCTATGTGGAAGTGATACAGTTGGTGATGGCGAGATATCGTGCATTGCTGCAAAATGTATAGCCCTGAAGAAACTCTGTATTAAGAGCTGCCCCGTCTCTGATCATGGCATGGAAGCACTAGCTAGTGGATGCCCAAATTTAGTGAAAGTGAAGGTTAAGAAGTGTAAGGGTGTAACACTTGAAGGTGCAGATTGGTTGAGATTAAGTAGGGCATCACTTGCTGTTAATCTAGATACTGGCGAAACTGAACAGCAGGATGCCAGTGCTAGTGATGGTGCAGCGCAGGATAACGCCGGAGAATTTCAACCAATCCCCAGTCAAGCAGCAGCATCGGCCACTATTGCATCAAGCAGTTCTGGCCGATCTACATTCAAGTCAAGGTTAGGACTTTTGTCTGGGAAGAGTTTAGTGGCTTGCACTTTAAGAAGGTGGGCAAGTGGCAATAGTAGTTCCCGGCATGTTTAAACGCGGAAACTTGAATAATATGCCAAAGCAAAAAGCAATCCTAACCTTTGTTCAGTTTCATCATTGTGTTGTATCACTTGATTTTCTCTCTTGTTATATCTAAATTTCATTCATGCTGTGTGCTGTTGATTGTTTTTTGAGTTGAATCTTCACAGCTGGAAGTGACAATCACATTTTTTTACTCCCAAATTTCTTTGGTGGCTGGTGCTGCCGAAGGACAGTACATCTTATCAATTAGATAGATGGGAAGCTGCACCCTCTTTGTCATGGAGGTTGAGGCTGATCGATGTCTTAAAGTGTTACATTGCTACAATTTGTTAAATGTTTTGTATCTAATGAGAGAAGATATACTTTACTTCTGCTTTTTCACGGGCGAGAAGAATGGTTGGTAAAAAAACTATTGTCGTGCGGTTTGATGCTCTAGCAATTATGTTGGCATCTGTTTCTTGTGCTGTTTTCTTTTTCCTTTTGGTTTTTCCTTTTCGTCGCGATTTATGCGGTTATTTTTCAAAGCAATTGATATCTTGTACGATTAATAGACTGTTTTTGCATGAGTATGGCATGAGTTACCTCCCCCGGCTGAAGCCTGAAGGTGGTGGCATTTACTAGAATCGATGTTCAGTTGGAAAGATAAAAGGCGATATAGCAGGACTACTATTTTTGTTTGATATAACCTACCTTTTCTTTTTATTTTGTTGGTCTTAAATCCACCTTCCTCCTTATCTGCCATTTAATTATATGGCTTGTTTGGTGCAAAAATATAATCACTGTATTTGGGATTGAAGGTATTTGGAGGAACTGATCTTACAATCATGTATAAGGTCTAGGTACTTTTAGATGTGACTCAAATTTATTAATGTCTCTGCAATTCCGAATTTTATTATTTACTTTCTGGCCGTACTTGCTGCTTGTGAATGGGGGCTTGTGGTAACTGTTACTTATTTCAGGACCAATTTTAATCAGTAGGAGGATTGCTAAATCTTGGTATTTAAGACACTAGAAAACCTTACGATCACAGGTTATTGGTTCTGTTAATATTAAGGTTGTGTTTCTATGTGAATAGAAAATCTGTAGTGATCAAGTGCTCTTGGACGTTTGTCTTTTTGTGCTGTCTTCACTGTGATGAGCTCGTCCTGGACATGCCTGTAATTTCTATGCTTGATTCTCAGTTCTCACCTAACCAACTCTTGTTGGGAAGGTGCCGAACTGCCGATGCCTGCAAAATTCGCAATTGCGATTGTCATGTTGGTAAGCAGGACAATTATTTAGGCGAAAGTCAACTTGTTCAATCACCCGATTGATGTATATATTAGGCATTCAGGTTGACGTGGCTTCCATTGGCTTTGATCGAGTACATGTTCAAACTACTTAATAATTGAACTATTCAAATTTGATGAGCACTTGAAATGGACGCGAACACCAGGCAAAATGACTGATGATTGTTGGCTAATGATAATCATTTCTTTTTGTCAAAGCTAACAGTAGGAGTACATATTCCGCTACTGTCATTAGTGACGTGTAAGGGGGCAAATACATGAGAAAAGCCCTCCATCTAATTCATCTTTCCTTTTCTTTTTATTAAATCATTACAAAATTATGAATTATACCAATAAGTAATTTTCTTTAATTAGCCTATATTTATTTTAAAAAGAAAAGCCAATAGCACTAATTTAGTTATCTATTTCAATCAAAATCAGAGTCTTGGGTGGCCTAGACAAACACACCGTAAAGGCCTGCTTGGTGCGAAACGAAATTGGGTATGAGAGGAAGCGAGAAAAAGAAAAGAGGGGAGGAGGGGGGAGTGAGAGAATGTGTACAGGAATGGAGCTATGGAGATAGGAGAACTCTCATAGATATGAGAATATTTTTTTTAAAAAATGAAATTATTTTTGTCATCTACCGAACACGATAAAAATGCTCCTCTCATTACCTTTTTTCCCCATATTTTTAAAGAATTTCCATGATACTAACCTCACCATTAGCGCAGTCTAAATAAAATGTCACCCGCAATGGACACATGGTCGTCTAAAATGAGAAGCAGTATGACAGTCAGCCAGAGTTGAGCATTCATCTGCAAAGCCTGCATGTGCCAGGAGGAGGAGATTGGAAGCACAAAGTATGGGAGAGGGGGCAGTGATGGTAAATATCAAAGCAAAACACAATGCTTAATGCAATAATCGGACCCGAATGGACAGCCATCAAGAACTTTTTGTGCAAGTCATTTTATTATAAAATAAATACAATAACTGAAACCAATATTATCGATTATGATGAGGAAGAAAACTATAACAACCTGAATCATTCCTTTAAGTTACTGCCTGATAACCAATATTGTACAATCAATACAATAGAATCGAAAATAGTCTCCTTGAAACCAAACACAGCCTGCCTGCCTATTAGACGTTGAAAGTTGAGAACTCAGCATAAAATGACATAGAATTCTATTTGGTCTTCTTCTCCTTCCCAGCCCGAGGTTTCTGGTATATAACTATCTGACTCAAGATAGTAAAATTTGTTGCAACACCAAGTACAGAGCCCAGTATGACTTCAGAAGAATTAAGGAATCAGTCATAATTATCTCAGATATTAAAAGACGAATTCACAATAAGCAACACTAGTGTACATCACAAAAATAAAAAAAGTAGTCACTTCAATATGGATTACGGCTAAAGAGTTGAATAAAAGGAGGCAAGTCTAAAAGGAGGACACAATTTTTAAAATTCCGTAAACTAAAGAATGAGGCTTGAATAGACACAAATCTAATAAATTTATTTCATTGGAGCACATCGAAGACTTGGTAGAAACCACCATAGGGCCAATTTCCAAAAGCCAATGTTCAACTTAATTAGCAAAATATGGTATAAAAAATGTGAATGGTTCACCAGAAGGAAGCTAAAAAACTGACATGAAGTAAATGAGAAAGAAAGCTTTTCCAACTGGCTAGCTGGAAACATCAGAAAGGGCAGTAAACAAGGAACTACATTTAGACCAACAAATATAGAATATACATATTCGTGCGTGCGTGTGATGAAACCGATCTCACCTCAATATCATCAACCCCAAAAATCTTATCTTACATGCATTGATGATGACAATGAGGAAAGGACATAAAAATAATGAAAATAAGGAAGCAAGGATACCACTAGTTGGCGCATTTTCCTGTATGCTGGTAAAGACTCTGACTGCAACAAACAAGGATAAGAACATTAATTTGCAAACACCCACAATAAGCAAAACAAATCTCATAATAACCATACAGTCTTACCCATTGAGCCTCCAAAGTTCATGAATGATGTTAAGAAACTGAGTTCCCCAGTGCTTTTGCTCTGCAAATAAATATTTGAAGCAAAAAAAATCATGTTACAATTCCCCCCCCCCCCAAAAAAAAGGACACATCATATTAAACAGCATAAAAACTTCAGCAGTGTCAACAGAATCCAAGCCATTTATAATAATACTTTAGCAGTTTGCAATTAGCCCAAAACGAATCGTAGAACTTGTAAACTGATAATACAAACTAGTAATATAAATTGAAGATAGTGGCTTCTAGAAAGTAAATAATCTCGACTTAGTTATAAAGTCACTTATCATACAGATAACTCTACAATGACGGCATTCATTCGTGAAACTTCACCAAAAAAAGAAAAAGAAAAAAAGAAAAGTCGTTGAAACTGCAGAGAACCCCAGTGTTGTCAGAACATATAATTACTAAAACTATTTAATTAATTTTATGGAAACTAGAAATTGCTCTCCAATTTATGGCTCCACTTACAGAAAAGTTTTTCCATATTTGCGGGATCCTGGCAAAGAGGAAAACTGCATGCTGGGATGCCTGCAACAGATAACATCATATCCACATTAGGAAATATGGACATAAAAAATTTAAAACAGAAGTAGAGAACTATACAATACGTAAGCACACGACTTTAAAGTGATGAAAATTCCAGTGCATAAGCGTTTACTACTCACATAGAGAGCTTCAAAGAGAAGAGATAAGCGTTTACTACTCACATAGAGAGCTTCAAAGAGAAGAGGATTGATTTGACCAGCCAAGATAGTGGGCGCTACAGCACAATATCTGAAAACCATGTATCAAGGACAAGGTTGAGCATATTCATTTATCTTGCAGATAAGAACTTGGTGCCTTTGCAGGCAAGTAGGATACAGTAACGCCCGGATCCATGTTTTGGCACCCAATGGTTGAGAAAAGTAGTAGATTATAGCAACCAAAACTAAAGCTGTATCAGACAAGAATAGAAGGAAGCATGTCAGATTCCATTGACAATGTCAATGCACAAGAAAGCAATTCATGACGAAGAAGAGCTTTCCAAATATGCACGTTGTGTAACATGCTGATTCATGACATGAATCCTAGTCTAGTATTCTACACTAATTTCAGAACGTCAGATCTGTCTCTAAGATTATTACATCATAACTACATGACAGAGTTGTGTATACATAATATTAAATAGTAATGGGCAGGATCAATGGAAGCAAGGATATACGAGAAATATGTGCAAGTAAAATTGCGGAAAATGTTAGTGCACCTTGGATTAAAAGAAACAATAGCTCCCCATAAGCTGAAAAAGGAAGCCCTTTGTGAAGACAGTAAGCTAGTGCTATGGTATAGCCAACAACTTCCAGCTCAAAAGATATCATGCTAAGGCCTCTCACACTTTTATGATTCAGAATTTTTAAGATCTGCATTTCATAATATTGAAGAAAGTTGGAAATCTTGCCTGGAAAAGCTAGACTTGGTTAAGCAATTCTTAGCAGAAAAATCTAAAGACCGCCCCGGCAGCACCAAGTCAATATTAGGAACAAATAAGGACAAAGATACACTAATGCAATGAATAAAATAATTGCTCAGTACAGCAGTTTCTAAGAGACACGTCCGCTATACCACTAATGATTTATCGTTCAGGAAACAGATCGCAATATTAACTACTGAAATAGAGGCCACAACGTTGTCCATACCGTTCAGTAATCACAATTGAAAGTTAAGGGCAAATATCATCGGCGAAACTTGTAAGAGATCCAATAAGAGGATCAGCGTGGTTTCTAGGGTTTCCGATCACTGTGAAAATAGGCTACTGAGAAGAATGAAAAAAGACGGGCGTACCTGGGGAAGTTTGACAGTAGTGGAAGCGGCAACGATGGCATAGCCGAGAAGCTTGGAAATAAGAGGTAGCAGGCAGTCCTTGTCTGGAAAGTGGCCATGGCGGAGAGATCCCACGGCACAGCTCACATCAATCCCCAGATAATCCATGCTCTCGCAAGCAATTCCCCCAAACAATCTAACACTGTAGCACCTACTTTGCCCTGTGAATTGCTTCGGACGACGGTTATCGAAGCCTCAAATATCTGCCTAGTGCCGGGAAATCCATTTGGAAAGAAGATTTTGGCCCATAGAAAAAAAAAAAAAAAGAAGGATGTATTGGCGCGGAAATATTGACCCTCGTAAAAATTAACTAGCATAATATTAGGAATATTAATTAAAAAATAATTAATATGCAAGTATTTATAGTTTTAATTTTTAATCAAATTTCTATAATTTGTTTTACCATATCCTTATAATTTTACATATCTTTAAAGGTTTTTATAATTTTTTTTTATCAAACCCTTATTGTTTTACCTTATTTTTAATTATGTCCTTGTTGTTTTTATTCTTTATTCTATAAATAATAAGATTTTATAAATAAGAAATTATTATAATAATATTATGTTAATATTATTTTAAATTTTTAGCTAAGCATATATATTATTTATTTTTCAATTCTGATTTTTATAGCTATAAAATTCACATTATAATAATAAAAAATTTTAAAATTAGAATATAATTATAAATGATTTATAGTTAATTATAATTGATTATTATGATTAATAATTAATTATTAAATGATTATATTAATTATTTTGTCTAGTTATATAATTATTAATTTAAAAATAAAATTAAGTTTAAAGAATAAAGTTAATAAATAATTTTTTTTAAGACTACAAATGACCTAATTAAAAGTAGGGGTGTTCACGGAACGGGATGGGATTTGGACGGGCCCATCCTGGTCCCGTCTCGGTGAATAGGGACAGGACTGAGATTTTGTCCCATATCCAGTCCTGTCTCGATTCCCCTTTTTTTAAAAAAAAATATTATAATTTTTTATATGAATTTTTTTATTATAATACTTATTTTTTATTGGGCTTCTAAAAATAAAAACATTGTAAAAAAAATATTATGTAGAAAACTCAGTTATATAGCATAAAAAAGTGTAAAATTAATACTGTAAAAAAAAACCCTAAAAAAACACTATATAATGACTTTATGAATTATTTTATTAATGAAAGAGATTCTGTTGATATAATACTACAGTTTAAGAGCTACAAATCACCATAAAAATAAGTTATTATTAATAAGTAAATTAAATAATTTAATAATTATTATTTATAAATAATTTTTAAAAGAAAAAAAAAAACCGTCGTCCCGTCCCAGTTACTATGTCGTCCTGTTCTATTTTTGTCCTGTCTCGAAATTTTTTTTTGTCCCATCCCTTCCCAAACTCACCAGGACCGGGATAGGATAAATTAAACACCCCTAATTAAAAAATAAGTAAAACTATAAGGACATGATTAAAAAAAATAGAGGAACTTAATTAAAAATACGTGAAAGTAAAAAGATTTGATTAAAAAAATTTATAAAGATTTAATTAAAAATCAAATAAAACTATAAAGACTCAGAGATTAATTATTCCTATTAATTAATGATAAGTTATTCTCGAAGCCAGTAGAATCCTGACTCTTACTGGGTATAATTGCATGTACAACCTCTGATCCAACATATAATATTGTTTAACCAATCAAGAGCGTTAAAATTGATTAACTACTCAAATTTATCGGGAAAAAATGCAATACCAACTCAGACTTATTTATAAGAAATAATTTACGTAAATTGTTTAGGGCCTGGAAGTCGTACATTTTAATTTTATCCTGTAGGCCAGACAAGCCTCGTAATGAACTCTCACATCAAATTTAATGCTCTGGTTCTTGTTAGAGAGTACTGTTAATTATTTTTTTAAAAAAATACTTATGGTTAGATGAATGACAAAAATTCTTATAAATTTTTTTACAGAACAAGAAGAGTAGGGAACAAAGGTAAATAAAAGTACTGCCTATATTTTTAATCAGAAAAAAGAGTTATAAAAATACTTTCATTTGAAAAACGAAATTTGTAATGATGGTGAGTCTAAGAATGTCGAGAAAAATAAAAAAGTAAAAATATTGAAATTCCCTGCCTCGGAGGAAAAACCAGCAGCACTGCTTCGATCATTTCATCTTCGCCCTTCTTCCACGCCGGCGATCGACGATCTCAAAGATTCACAAACAAATAAACATCAAGCAACGATAACGAGAACATAGACAGGCAGGGCACTACCAAAGCCCAAATTAGGCCCATATATGAGTTCATACCCGAAGGGCTAGGATGAGAGATGGGCCGTTAAAGCGCACAACTAAAATGCCCCAGGAGCTTAAGATCAACCAGGAGATTTTCTCCCTCGGTTGAACTCTTGATATGCCATTGCAAGTTTTTAACACATCATCCAACTTACTTGTCGATCTTTATGAACGGTGCTAGCTTATTTTATGAAAGCAGAATAAGAATTCTAAGGCTTGTTTGATTTTGTTTAAACCTATTTTGTAAACCACTTTTGTCAAGCTGTTTTTTTTAAAATGATACCCCAAAAAAAAAAAATCTGTTTATGTTACTTTAAAAGCAGTTTTAGAGTTGGGTAAAAGAAGTGGGCAGCGGTGGCTGCGAATAAAAATGGCTAATGGAGGTGGTCAATCATAGCTGACCAATGACTATGGCTGTTAACCAAGATGGCCGACAAAAGCCAATGGTAGCAGTCAATATTGGTTAGTGGCGGCGACCAAGGCGGCAACCAGTGATGATGTCCGATGATGGTCAGTGGTAGCCGGTAGTGGCTGGAGATGGTAGTTGACGGTGGCTAGTTGGCAGCAAATGGCAAACTCATCTCAGTCCTCAGAAGTCAGAATATTACACAACCCACTCTGTCCTGATCATTTAATATCAAGTACAAAACCAATCAAGCTAGCAGCTAAGGAAGCATACCGCTGGATTTAATCTTCTGTTTAAAAGGAATGGACCTCAAGCCTTTGCCCAGAGTCTTATCCACTGAGCATTGGAAAATCAGTTACCCCACCATATTGGATGGTTGGCCTACTCGTATCAGATCATATATGCATTTGCATGATGATCCACAGTAAATAGAATAAGACCACTTAGTCCTACAGAGCATCGCCTTAAGTCGAGCTTACGTTTTTATCACTTGAGTCTCTCGTTTATTTATTTCATTAGCAATTTGAAAAATCACGGGACTAGGATGCTGTTTTTGAGTTGAAGAGCCAGTTTATATTCTCATCTGTGTTGGCCATAACGATGAAGCCGTTATGATAATGTTGGTACGAAAATAAACAGGATTCAGAGCAACGGTTAACAGAAAGAGAGAATGAAGGAGCATTTACGGTTGTTACCAGAGTGCGGGATAGATTAACAGTGGGTAGGAACATTAAGTATATAATCACATTGGCATTGACCCAAATTAAAAATGCGTTATATGTCATGATTACTAATGAGAAAAAAGCTGTCAAAGCTCACATTGGCATCGCAATGGCCAAACCTTAGCTTTCTGGAGCTCTCAAAGGAAGAGCGGATCTGATAAGTTTAGAAATAATGAAGCCTATCAGACAAGAGTCTCCACCAATAGGGAGTTCATGTTGGAAAGCAACGTGAGAATAGAGATAAGAAAGGAATGGGGTGAGAAATTGAATAACTTCCCAATGCAGTAGTGGTGGGCTTTCGCGCCCCACATAACGTAGCTGTCAATCCATTTAGTTGCCCAACCCATAGGGTGCATCTTCATATGCATCGCCCCCCACCCCCTCTTCTAATTTCAACGCTTAGCCTGGACCACTCTTCCTTTCTCAACTTGAGTACGTCCACCTTTCCCTCCCTGCATTTTATCTATTTTACTTGCTTCAAACTTAGTTAGCAAAGCAATGACAAATATATTTGTTCCTTTGAAAGCAGCCTTTGTATCTTGATGCTTTATCGTTGAATTGTTTTTCCTGATCCATCAAATTTGTAATAAATTGTGAGACCTACAAAGTTGAAGTCCGTGTCTAGAATTGACACGGCCATCTTCCTCCATTACTGTTTGTTTTTCACGCTTTTATTGTTCTGTACCTGTGATGTGAATGAGATACAGATGGTGCGCATTACTTTAATGGCCACTGCTTATGAAAGTCCTACTCCATCCAGCTCTACTGTGTTTTGGTCTCTTGCCTTTTATCATGGTTTTCTAATCAAATCTCTAACACCAACATTGTCATTAGACAAGCCGGCGTGTCCCCAGCAAACCAACAATGATAGCTAAAGGTTGCAAATAACTCAGCCAATGATCATTTGTAAGGTGATACTTTGGTTCATGACTGATGTTTCCTTTTTCTTTTCTACCTGTTGACGAGTGATGTTTGATTCAATAGAAATTGTCTGGGATTGCGATACACCAGTGTCTTGTCCAACTATAAAGCTTAACTTGTGATAATGTTGAATATTAAGAACAGAAACGTTGGGTGTGTTCTGTAGGATGGGGGTCCCCGCAGAAAGCAAATACTGGTCATGAAGTCGATGGTTCTTCAACAGGACCACTTCAACTAGAGACAGATATATAATCCGATCTCCTAATTACACATTAACTAGATGTTCCCTTTATGGTGTTTTGACTTTGCTCTATTAGGTAGACTGAGGGCGATTATCATATCAAACAAGCCTGCCGCAGTCCTCCCCCCCCCCCCCTTCTTTTTTTGGATGGCTTCAGCAGAATCAACTCCCACTATTAGGGACTAAATAATAGGAAACAAAAGGAGAGAAGACATAATCATATCGGCCATTTTTGAGATGCGAATATATGTGAATATGGAGGCCCCACTTAAAACTACTCATATCATACTGTCTTGTACAATTCTAAATATGGGAGCATGATCGCCTAACTTGGTGCCTTTCAAGTGGGTACCCTCACCTGGAAAACATTTTGCCCTTTAATCAAGCTTTTCCTCTCCCATTTTCATCAGTAACTCTTGGGTGTGCTTGCCTGGGGAAAATGGAAACTGGACTGCCCTTGCTTAATTGCCTCTTGCAGCATACTCTGAGAAGCTTATGTTCACCTTCAGACTCTTCCACTTCTTCTAAGTGGGTATATGCTGTATTTTGGAGGATACTGCCGCGAAACTATCCTCCCCCAAGGTAAGAAACTAATTCAGAATTAAAAACACATTGATACCCCAAAAAGAGTTCTCAGTCTGCGTAGAAGAAGAATGCTTCAGTTCATGAAAAATTGTAGTGTGTTTTGATGTTTGTAAACCCGTTTACTCTGTTGCAGGTGGGAATTTGGAGGGACTGATCTTGATCGTTCCAAAGGAAATAAAAGAAACTGGTAATAGTCAAGTAATTATGACAATTACAGGACTAGTTTCACTTCTTTTGACAGGCAAACCATATCCAACCAGGCACAAAAAGTTATGATGGTTTTTAAATTATTAGGTGGTGTTCACTGTAGGATCCTGGTTTGGGAAGATGGATTCTGTGATTTTAACGAATGCACAAGGGCAGGGAGTGGACTCCTTAACGGGAAGTTTGGAGCTGACGTGTTCTTCAAAATGTCACATGAGGTCTACAGTTATGGGGAAGGGTAATGAGGGTTAAATATATGGCTTTGCTCTTCTATCACATTTTCTTGTCATAATTAATCTAGCTTGTCTACCTATGTTTTGAGGAGTAGTATGACCAATATTCACGTAAAAAAAAAAAAAAAAAAAGAACGGGGGACTTCACTCGATCATTTGATGTCTGTAATATATCTGCAGATTACTGGGGAAAGTAGCTGCAGATAATAGTCACAAATGGGTGTACAGGGACACCGAAAGGAGTCTGAACCTAGCTATATCGCTTCGTGGAATGAGTCAGTTGAGCTGTAAGGAATTTTAACTTTGAACAGAAATGATTACAGATAGCTCTTCTTTTTCGGTCCAGCTCATTCTTTCTCTTGAATATAGAAAGGTTGATATTTTCCTTGCTCTTACAGCGACCGCGGGCGTGGGAATATCAGTTCAATTCCGGTATTCAGGTGGGTAAAACCATTCACAGAAACACCTCGGCGATAAGGGGTAAAAATAAATAACAATTGTTAGTTCATTTAGTCTTACTAGTGCATGCTAACGAGACTTTTTGCTTCTTTTGGTAGACCATCGTCGTCATTGCAGTGAGAGAAGGCATAGTTCAGATGGGTTCGCTTAACAAGGTATTGCTCTATTTCCTTCCTAAGTTCCTTCAAAAACTGGGTCATTGATTCATGGAGTTGTTCAGGTTGCAGAAGATATCAGTCTAGTGATCAGAATACAAAGAAAATTCAGCTTCCTTCAGAGCGTACCGGGCGGCTTCGCTATTCAGAGACCATATCCCATCCAACATCCTTACGTCCTCAAACCTAACATCCAGATGATGGAAAGTAATGAAACGGTTCTCTCTGTATACAATATGAATCAAATGAGTGGAGTGAAAAGGCTGATTGACGAAACACCAAACAATGCTTCCAGGAAATCTATTAACTTGGGCTGGAATTCCCCACAGGATGGAACAGCAGGGCAGCCTATTTGGTCATTTCCTCCTACCCTGCCCTTGCTGCCTAAGATCCCCTCTCTATTTCCTTCCTATAATTATATTACACTTCTTCATGATGCCGGGATTAATAGCACAAGCCATAGAGTGAAGGTTGAAGAGTGCGTATTCTATAACACTAATGAAGGTCATCAGAAAAGCCCCTTCAATGCTGACTTAGAGTAGCAAGACAGAGTGGCAGCAGGATCGGGATTCGAGTCGAAAATGACCTAATCAAGAGGCTCTTAATCGAAATGGAAGTTAGATTATGTTTCTCCCACTACCTGGTTTTTGCGTTTAGGTGGTATGTCTGTGTGTTTCAGACTTTCTATCATAGTGATGCCTCGTTAGTTTCCATCTGTGAACGGGATGTTAGTATTGCGAATCGGTTGCTTTTTGCAATATAATCTGTGCACAAACTTTGCCTATCATTCTTTGCAGAGAAAATATTTGATGCTGGCATTCAAGCTAATAATTTGAAACAGATATATTGGGGAAAAAAAGAGGGAGGGCCGAATGATGGATGTTTAGGAAAGCTTTACCGGGAAAATCCAAAAATAATAACGTTGGCATGCTTAAATAAGCTAATTGCCATGGACTCTTATGATCACGAAGCAGAGATATTGCCTCAATGAAGATCTTGTTCGTACATGAGCTGGTTGGCATGGTGGGGCTGGACACCAATATCTGTCACTCTGAAATGCGGGGTATACATCATGTGGGCTGGGCGAAGAAAACGAAATGAAACAAATATAACTGAGGTCTGAATCAAGTTGTTTGGGGCGACAATTAGTACTTGAGCAGTTCAGCCCTCCCTGGTCCCCCAACACAACTGAGGCATAGGAATACGTACTCTTGCGCGCCCACTTCCTTAATTTAAGACGTCATTAAGACATCATTTGAAGGGAACAATGTGATTTTCATTCATCTTGTTTAAATTTGTCTTGACGTTGACAATATACTACCTCCGATCCTTAATATAAGATCCTTTTAACTTTTATTTTGGTCCTAAATATAAGACCCAATCTAATTTGTCTCTCATATTTATATATATTTTTTTAAAGTAGCCCTTCTAACAATGATAGTTCTAGTCAATACACTTGATTAGTAAGGATATTTTAGGAAAAACAACATCCATTTAGAACAAATAACTAACTCAACTTACTTCCTTCATCTCTTCAAATTAGTCAACTGACTCTTATAATTAGGACCGGAAGTAATATTTTATTTGAACTTCTGACTTGGTATTGTTTTATCTTCAGGAATAAAGATTAGTTGTCCCACCCATACATTTCACGCAGGGGAAATAGAAATGAGTTTTGCTTGGTTGAGTAAAGATAGGAAGAGCTTTTGTTTCTCAGCATCGGGATCCCTCATTTAAGCGTCTGGCATGATAGAAAATGAAAGAGAATGGGAGGGAGGTGAAATAAGTAAAATTCTTCACCTTGCCTTTTCATCTAAAGCACCACGCATATCGGCTTGCGCATCTGAAATCCGACTTATCCACACGCACGCCACTAAACAAAAGATGTCCCTACATTGAATAGTATTTGTCAATGTCTCCATGTTCTATAACAGTTACTACCTTGGTGAAGTGAGGCATACTAATTAAGTCACTTGTTAAATTGGCGGCACAGTTAACCTGATGAGGTTGAGGCTTCCATTGGTTAAACCTTAAGGACACTATAGGCAAAGAGAAAATAGCATGTGCATGGAAACGAAATTCATTGACCGCCGGTGACTGATTACAGAATCTACTTAAGTTCGAAGGTCACGAAGTAAATATTTTGTTCGAAAGCAATGCAACCATAAATAGAAGGCTATTTACACCAGGAAAATACATCCTGAAATTTCATAAAGCATTCATCAGTTGGCATCTAAATGTCAGAGATGACCGTCTAATGGGCAGTACGATGATGAGTCCCAAGGAAAAGAATATGTAATAGGCTCCTGCATCCTCCTTTGACTAGGTCATCCACTCTTCCATTATTTATCCATTGGCTCAAGCACTGATTCTCTTGTTCTTCTCTCCATATGCCCAATAGGGTTTAGCTGGAGTACGCTTCATTGCCTTTACTCCAAACAGGCTGTCCTTGCTCTGCAATACAGAGAGTTTCATTTAAGATATCATTAACATGAACAAAAAAAATCCAATAGTAGCCAACAATTGATTATGAAGGAAGAAATTTAGGTGTGTTACCATAAGACAGGTGCCAGCGTCAATGTTACAGACGGGATAGTCGTGAGGGCAACAACTGTAGTGGTCTTCACAGCAGGTGGCAGCCTCAAGAGGACAGCATCCCCAGGCAAAGCAATACTTTCCATACTCATAGACGCAGCAGCACGTAGTGCTGGCAGGACAGTTATAGTAACTATCACATACAGTGGGTGGCTTCACCGGTGAAGGAGGAGATGGTCCGGGGTTTGGGGATTTAGGCCTTTCTTTGTAGGATAGGAGGCCTCCATCACAATGCCACACTTGCCGGTATTGGCTGTGGCCACATTACGCTCCATTCTAATATACCCTTCCTCTCCCCAGCTCGATCCCCAGGAGTTCTTCACAATCCAGTAATCCACCCCATTTTCTGTGCCATATCCAACAGCGGTAACTCCGTGGTCTAATTCTGTACCACATCTTCCCGTAAATACACCCTGACCAAATAGAGAAAACCCTAATAAGAATGTGCAGACTCTGACTGGACAGCAAGAAGCAATTGTCCCAAAAAAATCCCCTAAGTACAGGTTTCTTTAAAATAGCCTCGGCATGACTAATGTGATGTCACATGTTGTGCGTAGCTAATTCCTCAAATGATGGGCAGATCAAATCATTTGTCAAAATTAAAGTGACCATAGTGGACAATGCATGCATCTATATATGAAGTATGCTCTTGGAAAAAAATAGTTGAGGGACTTACAGATACATATAACTGAAATTCCCTGCCGCCTGCTTCAATTGCAACGCTCACTGGTTGATTTGCAACAGCTTTTTTCAAGGCTTTCTCATCATTGGCAGGAACATCCTCATAGCCATCAATTGTCACGACTTTTGCATTTTTCTGTAGAAATGTCAGCAACAAATTAAGTATGGGAGAGGTAACAATTTTCTGTCATGAATAATAACTGAATGTAGACTGACCCTATATTGGTCGCACTGGCCATCAACAGCACGGTAAGGATAATCCTCTTCGGTGTCAATACCCCCATTGTCGATGATGAACTGAAAGGCATAGTCCATTAATCCCCCATTGCACCCTTCGTTATATTTTGTATCACAATCCACCAGTTCTTGCTCAGATAGTGAAATTAGATCGCCTGTCACTAACTTGTTTACTCCTTCCACTGCAGCTACGGTTGAGAATGCCCAGCAACTCCCTTCATTCAAAATTAAGTCAATGAGTTACTAGCAATCCTCCATGCATATAAAATTCATTGTGCGTAACAGTTCTTTGAGCTTCATAACTGTGCAGCTTTTCTATTTTTTTCCCTTTAACATGTCAACACAAAAGATAACTCAACGCATTTCGAAATAGCAATCAAAATGTAGTAATCATTAATTGCTACTTACAAGTAGAAGAAAACAGAAATCACATTATTGACTGACACGCCAGGTAAGTGATTTTTTCCTTCCATGAAAGTAGCAAGGCTAATATGTAATTATCTTTACTTAATTTCTGGTATACGTTGGAAACAAAGTTGTGTAAATATCCAACATGAACGCCGAAAAGTAAGATCAGAGAAGTAGGAAATGTTCCTCCAATAAATATTGAAAGCGCTGAAATCTAGATATAATATATGAGATTCTATTTTTTGGCTGAAGAAGAGTTATAATATGTGTCGGAGTAACTGGAGCAGCTTTATTTTGAAGGATCAACTTGAGAGATAGAACAGAGTGATCATGTGACAGACTTAATTGACATATTTCATCATCGAAAGATCAAGGTGAGATAATTGTATACACAAATCATACAGTTTTGCCCGTGTAACGAATTCTCTCGTTTTTTTTTTAATTTTTTCAAGGATTTTTTTCCTTCAACCAGGAGGAATCTCAGTTTGTGATAAAACAGACAGTTCCTGAATAAGATATCTTGGGATTAATTAATGATCCTAACGTCGCAAGCGTTGACTTTTGATTGCATTCGAGTTTTGGGAGCGATCTCCCGTTTATTTTAAAGGAAAAGGCGAAAAAATAGAAAGAAAAAGCGAATACATTTAATCAGGAAAAGTTAAATTTCAGTAAAAACAAAACAAATACGGACTTACCGCAACTTCCTTGATCTTTGACTTGGACGACCGCACCTTCCTTCCGCCAATCAACAGATTCCGGCAGTTCGTCGCCGACATGTGGAGCGTAACGGTTGCTCCTGGCCTTGGAAATCCTCCTCTTGGGATCGATCTTGGTTCCCAGGTACTTGGCCCTGTACTCCTCGTTGGTAAGATCGGCGAATCGGTTCAGCCCGACTTTGTAGGTCCGATTCTCAGCGTTGTGCTCGTCGATGAACCTGAGATTGTCCTTGAAAATCTCGAACCTTTTCTCTTTCTCGCCCAGGGCATTGTAGACCTTGCCATGTTCTACAAGCCAGTGCTCGTATATTGCCATGACCTCATCATCCGTCCTCCCGGTTGACTTATCGGGGTGGGTTCGATCGTAGGAGATTATGGACATGTCCAAGGCCAAAGACACGGAGAAGACCATGAACACCAGCAGTATCATGGCCAACGATGATCTAGACAAACCCATTTTGCTGTGATATTTTCCGAGAAAGAGGAAGAAGATCCAGAGAGCAGCCGTGGAAGAGGGGAAAGGCAGGCGGACTATTTAAAGGGGAAAGGGAGCGACCCATTGGATATTAAAATAGGTGGCCAATAATTATTTTTTACGTTGAAAATTTCCTTGGAAAATAGGTATGGATGATTTTGAAATTATCTGATGTACATCTGGATCTGATTCAATAGGAAAAAGAAATATTACGTTAATATTTAGTATATTATTAATTATTTTATAATTTTTGAAATATTATTTGTTTTCGTTCTTAAAATTTATTTAAGACTTATCTTTAAACTACTCCTTGTCATGAGAGTTTCAAACATTTGTATCTTTAATCTTCAATATTAAGATTAAGATATGAGAAATAAAAGATAATACCAGCATACGGGGTAAAAAAAAAGATAATAATAGTGCGGATTAGTCAGGTTATTATGCGAATGTATGATTGGTTATAGAAATTATCGTTTCCCGTTAAAAAAGAAAACAAAAATCTATATCATGAGGTAGAGCAAGGAAAAGGCGAAAGCACCCCAACGCCAGTGGCTAAGAAACCAGAGATGGGTTATTATTTTAAATATATTACTCCTCCGGTCCTAATTATAAGACCCAATGATTATTTGAGGAGATTAAGGAAGTAATAAA